GACAGACAGAGACGGTGATGATAAAGTGTTAGAACACAGATAGAAGTAGGGAGAAAATTGGAGAGCTGGTTTCACTGTGGAAACACGCTGCTGCTCAGAGGAAGAAAAGGGGTGATGATGGGGAGGATATGATGCCACCAAGAGGCACATTCTCTGTTATCTAAACAATTGCTTTGATTACTGAACTCTGTGCATACACATGTAAACACACTAAACAATATGCTTTAATTTAAAAAAAAAAAAAAAACCCACACACAAAGCTACCCACAGTCAAACAGACAAATGTGTGAGGAAGGAAAGTCCAGGCTGTGAGGAGGATATCAGGCTGAGCAGCTGGAATCCTCTGTGGCCAACCTAGAAAACTTTGAACTTAGATTTATAGACTTTGCTGAGCTGCGCTGGGCTTAGTTTGAACAATTAAACATAGCGTCACAGAAAAGCTGTACCAAACAAGTTGCACAATAGGAGGACATGCATTTATCAACAGTCCCAGCCGTGGAACAGAACCGGGTGTGTGGGAGGAGTTGGAGAGTAGCTGAGTGGAGAGGAAAGCAGAGGAGTAGTGTTAAGTTTTAGGTGATGGAGTAGTGCCAGCGTGAAACTGCTGCAGCTGCAACTTGTTGACCTGTCACTGCCACTCTCAGCGCTGCTCTCCTAACAATCTGTCTCCATATAAATACAAATAAGTAGCAATTTCCTCAACTCAGAAAACAAAAACAGGCATGTATGCTTGTGTAAGCACAAAAACACACACACAAAAGCCCATAAAAAACATAAGGATGATATTACTTTTAAAGCATTCAGCCAGTCCTGCTGGCTTAGCATAGTTATTGCTCTACTAATTAAGAGAAATGAGGCAATATAGCATTGCAGTATCATTTTGAACTGGTGACAAATGAAAGGAAAAAGCCACATAAAGTGTCTTACAGGGTTTTTCCATCATAGGAACCCTGAGCCGTGTCATGCTCATCCCAGATTCTGCATTTGTTTCCACTGTCCTCTGCCCGCTTTGAAGGTGCGTTCAGCAGATACATTTTGACACGTCTCAGGAGTGTACTAGACTAGGGTAAAATCAGGTTCCAGGAAATTGAGGGGGGTGGCGGGTGCTTGCAGAGCTGTTGTTTGTGATCAGTTAAATGTCAGCATTCACACCTCAACTAGTAGTATTACAAGTGTGGTGTGTAAACACACATATACACACACACACACACACTGCTTTAGGGGTAAAATGATAGAGGACTTGACTTGTTGGTTTAGAGGTTAAACAGGGTCTTCCGCAAGTCGATCATGGGCAAAACTGTGAAGACGTCACAGTTCAGCAAGTGTGTGTTCTGCTTGTTCAACAGGTTCTCATACAGTCTCATTACTGACTGATTGTTTCACTATGGAGTGATCCTTCACATCCTCTGCTCTCATTCTCTTCAGCTGTGTGCGTGTGAGAGGAGCACAGCCCCTCACTCCTCTAAACAAAGACCGACACAGTGAAAAATACAGTAGTACAGCAAAACAAAGAGTTCGCATCAGGCCATGAGGTTATGCCAGGTGATGGTTAAAGGAAGCACAGGGTGTACCACTTGTTAGGTTAGGACAGTGGAAACTCAGCTTAAGTAAGGTGTTGGGTCTCCACATGCTGGCAGAACAGCTTCAGTGCACCTTGGCATTGATTCTACAAGTCTCTGAACTCTACTAGAGGGACGAACACCGTTCTTTCAAAAGATATTTCCTCATCTGCTATTTTAATGATGGTGGTGGAGAAGCTGTCTCCCTCGGGTGTTGAGAACTCGTGACTGCCATCACATATGATTTATTGTCATACACATCAAACTATTCACTGACCCCCTCATGCCCTATGGATGTGGGCACTGTCATGTTGAAAGAGACCTCTCATTTATTCTGGTTGTTCCTTTTGTCACCCGTCTGTATTTATAAATGCACACAGAGTGGGAGAAATTAACATCTCTTTGTCAACTTTTCCACCTGTTAATGTTCATTTTCTTGACATGATTTTTAGTAACACCTTGTATGCATTGGCCAAGCAGAGTCAAAAACTGGGTGCATATAAGCTTGCTAGGTATTCCTACGAGAAGCTCCAGGAGCTGCACATTCCCTCTCGCTTCCAGGAGTCCATTGAACTAGGCAGCCTCACCATTCACTCCAAACCCTTCCACGACAGAGAGGTGTGTTAAAGAGCCGGATATACATGCTGGTCTACTTAACTTGGTCTAAAATATTGCTAAATAAATACTCTGTGAACTGTCTACACCTTACATTCTTGTTTTGGTCAAACTTTCACTGTTCACTGCAGGACCTAATTGAGGACATGATGTGCTACCGCTGCTCCACCAATAACCCCCTGCTG